TTTTTCGTTTATATTGCTGAAAATTCATATCTACCGCCAACATATCGCATCTTTTGAAAGCGTTTTAGTATCCAAATATATTTTCTTTCTCGACGTTCCTTCGGGAAAAATCTGTTTGCCGTATTCTCCGCTGTTATTCTTAGTATGAATTTCTCAGTCGCAATATACCGTTTTTTTAGTATTCAAGTTACAAATATTATACTGCATAACCTTCTCCCGAGATATGTATACGCGTGTCTCATGCGCAATTTTTTTAAAACGACAATCTCAATTTCGACATAACAAAATTGCGGACGTCGAAACAGGTTGGGAATTTTTTAAACCGTCGCCATTTTTATGCTCTTTGAAGCATAAAATGTCCAAGTCTAGCAACGGAGAAAGCCGAGTACCCGCATAAATTATGCATCCGGAAGGGTGAAATTCTCTGCTGCGCAAACTTTGGGCTTGCTACGTTCTCGACGCCGAGAATCGTATTTGTAAAATTCAACTGATATTAATGAGCAAAGCCGACCCCAGTGCTTAAGAAGAATGTTCTTATGTTGCAATATTTCGCGAGATAGAACCAAACGATACGACGTTCGGGTTCATCACAATCGTATAATATTGTAATATTAATATTAGCAGAAACATTTTACCTCAGTAAATATATTTACCAGTAGCAAATACATTAAATATATATTAATTCAGAAACATTAATTCCCTTTTTAGTCTCACGATTCATCCTTTTCTTATTTGTTTTCGCGTTATCGTTACGTCCGTCAAAAGCCGTAAATAGCTAAATATTGATTTTCGCAATTTTTGGTCGATTCAAATGCACTGTAATATTGTACTCTCTGTTAACAGTTAACAGTAACAAATTGTAATTAATCGTAACGGTTTATGATACAATGTTCGTTTCTTGACTCGTGTAATTAAAATTAATTATGGCTGTTTGTAGCGGAGCGGACAACGCAGGAGTTAATTAATTGCTCGCGATGTATTGTTCCACCGCATTGAGTAAGTCTTCACAGCTCTTCTCGTACCTTTGCTTGCCAAAAGATCCTTTCTCCTTTGTCCGACTTTTATGTCAGACCCTTACATCGGAAATGTTCTCAAATTGTGTCTCGAAGACTTGAATTCTAAACGCTATATCAAACAGTTGCTCGACGTTGCCACAATAAAACGTAATTATTATAATATTTCACGGAAACTAAATATCAGATAAGTTTATTGCGATCAAAACGAGCGACATTTTATAATTACGAAAGTTTCGAGAGTTTTTATAATTTTTTAATCGAATATCCGTGACGATTCATTATTCAAAAAATTCGGCGAGGAGTTTTAATATAATCAGAGTTCACTTCACTTCTGTCTGATGTCAAAGTTTTCTGGCATTATAATTTTTCACGCTTAATGCAACAAACTTTACTTGACGCGCAGGTGTGTAGTATTCAAGGATCTCTTCCGTAAAACTTCCTAACCCGGTAACACTGACGTGCGTTAACATTTTGTAAATAAGAAGTTGTCACCATCATTCATCCGGTCGGCTATTCACCGTATGGAACCTTCCATCTTCCGAATAAAATTATTACCAATAAAAGTAATAAAGAAAATGAAACATAAGATATAAAAGGAAATGCATATAAACAATGCATATATGTAAGTAAATACAAAAAAAGTAAAAAAAATAAAAGAAAATATAATTTAACAATAAAACCATTTCTGTTAGCATCTTTGAGATATATATTTCAATTTTTTTAATAAGACATCTAATATATTTATGTTATGTATCGTTATATAATACATTATTTTGCAGTGATCTTGAGAGGACCTAAATGTAAAACGGAAATATCGAAAACGTAGATTTATCGAACTTGTGAAAAAGCTTGATTGAAAAACACTGTTCAACGATATTGCAACCAATGCAGTATTTTCTAGCAAAACTCCGCCAATTGAAAATATAAAATATACTCATCATTATAAAACATTTTGAAATAACTCTGAGTAAACTTAACATAAAAGAAAATTGTAAAATGTAGATCTTTTAAGAGAAAGTTATTTTAGAAAGTCGTACGATACCAGCTGCGCAAACAATAGCACGCCAAAAGTTCGCGGCACGAAAATTACTAAGTTACGTTCGTCGAAGTAAATTCAACTGATTATGAGGGCATTATAGATGATCGTTCTAACTGACATCACGATATATAACATTGACTATATCTAGCGAAAGTAATTATCGTAGTATTACAGAAAGCTACGGACGATGTTCTGTATGTCAAAGTTTCAAAGTTTATTCAACGGGGATCCTGAGAGAAGCGTTAATTGTAGTTAGCAAGAAAATGTACGTTTCAATTGGCTTTTAACTTCCACAAATGTAGGCGCATATAGGTGAATGCACTTTATCGCTCGGTTACGGTTTCCGCTATTCGGTTTACGCTAATTGGAAGGTATCATATAAAAATAAGTTAAACCATGAAATTTGAAAAAAAAATCGGATTGTATAAGTTGTAAAAAGTTGTGCAGCTGGCAATATAAAACTTTGCATTTAAAAAAAAAATGATCGAAGTAAAATTTAATATCACACGCCATTCAGGAAAAATAGCTTAAAATATTTCTTCGAAATTTTAAACTTGATTTACTCGGAACTGCTAGTTGATGGGCTAAATTACTTTTACATAATACTGTTCGATAAAGTTGTACGATTCGAAAGGATAAATCGACCATTGACACATCGGTGGAAATAGCAAATGAATATACCACTGCAGTCAAAATAAAATATTAAAAAAATGCAAAAAAATCGCTTTATCATTTAATGCAGGGGCGCTCGTCAATTTTACTCGCGCGACCATCACGGACGAGTGACTCGGCGAAGCTTTTCGCGTCATCCCACACCGTACCACACAAAATTTCCCATGGAAATTATTTTCGATAACGCCCTGACGTTTAACGGCTGAAACGCGCGGTATTACGAGCGGCTCATACACGTTTCATCAGGCATAAGCCACCGTAGCTTTGAACAGAAGCGCGACAATCAAGGGACATACCGTTCTAACAGAGAATAAATAAAAAATCATTTATAAAGTTTCATACTCCATAGTACTCTATAATGCAGGTGCCAAATAGAATGTCAAATTAAATAATAAAAAACATTTTTTTTTGTGCTGACGCTACGGAGAGAGAAAGAGAGAAGTAATAACAATTTTATCTAAAAGTATAAATTATTAGTATTTTATACTAGTATTTTTTTTTTCATATTAATTTTGTAATATAAAAGTAATTTTCTTAATATTTACTTTAAATTCTATAAAATAATCTTTAAACAACTATAAAATTTATATACAAATTTAATAATTTCAGATAACTTTCATCTTCTCGTACGGCTTGTGATACTTTTTATCGCTTATATAATATACTTGCCAGTTGTATCAACTTTCTCAAAAAGAAATTAATAATTTCACAGAAATAATATTATCGTCTCGGGATACATTTATCAACTTGCTTCGTATTTTCCGCGGAATTTTATATTTCACATATAAGAGCAGTAAATTTGGGCTGACACCTAGGCGGAAAGTGTCCTTAGTGCGTCCCCGGTTGGACGCGCCGCCGTTGTCAGCCAGCTTTATCGTGAAGGTGCAATTTATTGTAGAAATTATTTCTCGTCGCACGCATGCACGGAGACTGACAATTACATTTTTCTACCGTCTGACCATGAGCTGTCCCTTCGACCATCGCATCATGTACGCGGAATGTCGCCTTCGTCTCGTTCACTTTGTGATCTGCTCGCAGATCCGAGAAGCGTAATGTTATATGCATCGGGATGCATGCGTGACATCGATCTGCGAGAAGGACCAAGAGGATGGTCGAACGGGATGATGGAGAAAAAAAAATGCCAATGCGCGAAAGGAACGGCACACACAGAAAGGGGGATAAATTGTACAGGCGACGCGGATTTATTCGAGCGCGATACGTTACCGTGATACGTGATGCGACTCGGCGTGAATCGACGAGCTTGCGATACTTTTGAGCGACGACGCCACTTTCGCTCGACAGACAATGCGTATATTCTCGCGATTTGACGAGGGAATCGGTAGTAGTGGCGGTGGTTGAAAATCATTGGGAAGAGAAAAGAAAAAGAGAGATGAAGAATGGATGTGGGGAAAGGGCAGGGGGAGGAGAGAGAGAGAGAGAGAGAGAGAGAGAGAGAGAGAGAGAGAGAGAGAGAGAGACAGACTCTTCCTCACAGTAGGATGAGCTGGCTCTAATTCGTCGATGGTAGTTATCAAGCTGGATGGTGCCTGACAGTTTACGTGAATACGCGACGAATTTAAAATAAAACCGCGCCGTGATAAATTCTATATCTGCGTTCCGACGCGATGCTGTAAGCGACTGACATATTCCGCTGCAGTTGAATATCGTTTTTTCGATCTCTCCTCCATTGTCTACAATTCAGAGAGTATCCATATAATGTAGAGATTATTTCCACTTCGCATTGTATTTCAATGATAAATCCTTTTCTCAATTTGGAATCGATTTTTTTCGACGAATATACATATCTAAAGAGACCATTGTTTATCACAATTTTCCTCATTATTATACTTGTTCGTTCTTTACTGACAACTTTATTATCATATTATTAGTTACATTCTTCATGTTTTTGCTCAGTTTTTGTCGTTTCATTTATTTTATTTTATGTATTTTTTTTTGGATATAGGTATTTCTTTTTATACTATGCATTTGTAAATCCATATTTTTTGTTATTTGCGCTTTTTTTTGTTGAATATCTTATTCATTTATCTGGCTATATTTTTAGATGGCTTGCCACACAATGATAAACGCTTTACCTCTATTTATTATAGTTTTCGGATAAAGACTCAAACCATATTAAAGTATAACAATAATATTAGTTGAACGCAATTTTAATTCCAGCGAAAGCTCATGAAAAATTTAATATCAATATTTAATATCATGCAAAATCTGTTAGACTTCAATATTTATTGATCATATTTTTTTTCTGCTTGCAGGTGATTTTTCGCTGCACATATATCCGGTGGAACTCGAGGACGACGGCACGTATCAATGTCAGGCTTCGCCGACAAACGACGGACAGCCGGCTTTACGATCGAGATTTGCCAAGCTGAGCGTGCTAGTACCACCGCAAAAGCCGAAGATCTTACAGGGTGACTTCCTCGTCACCACCGAAGATCGCGAGCTGGTGATCGAATGTATAAGCAGCGCCGGAAAACCACCGGCAGAGGCAAGTACCCTTTCCTCTTTCCGTATCTTTGTCAACGCATATATAATATATATGTGTGTACACACACACACACACGCACATATATATATATATATATATATATATATACACACACACACACACATATACCAATAGGATTATCCGAGATTAGATCGGATTAATAGCCGTGAAAGCAGCCTCCGGCGATTGCATCTGGAAACTTCGTGGATATCCCTTGGCAATGGGCAGTACGTTGCCTCGAAGATTATGCTCGATTGATTTTACCTTTAGCCGTATCTCCCTTAATCATGTCATTTCCGAATGTCTCTTGTTGTACATGTAAATTCATCGTATTATCAATCGCAATTCTAAACGAAAAATAAATAAACACATAATCGAGTTCATTTAGTAGCATATTTAAAAGTACTAATGTAAATACTTATGTAAATGTAAGTATTTAAATGTAAGTACTTATGTAAATTGCAAGTTTCAACGTATATATGTAGTGAAATATATTAAAAATTTTATTTGCACATTAATTTCGACGCGTGACTTTTATATGTCCTTAGTAACTGTATTTATTATTGTTTAACATTAAGAGTCAATCATTATTTATTCGAAAAATAAATTCAGTTTATATACTACATTTCTTAGATGAATATATCAACGTAAATGTGTGAAATACATGTATATTCAAAACTTTATGCTATACCTAATAATATCTAAAGTTATATGGCATTCGTATTATACGTGATAATATATCTTAACGTGACTCTGTACATATAAACTGAGTTATAGTTACGGATCTGTCATAAAACAGGATGAACATATCCACATATCAAATCCCCTTATTTGCGGTAAATTGCTGCGCAGAAATACAAGAACTATTTTTCTCTCAATTAACCTTCTCAATTTATGTCATATCGATGGCGAACGTGATTCAAAGCTGTTTTTATCGCGTGGAAATAAACAAATATTATTCAGTGTCAAATTAAGATTCATTGGAGGGCTTTCGTGTCGCATGGATTTTAACTGAAACCTGATAATATGAAGAATAATTTATTATGATTGATCGAATAAAAAGCGGGAACTCAAACGCAAGGCACGCTTAGTAAATAGTACCGAATCTGAACCAGGGCTGAAGCCATGGATTGCACTTCTTGCTGCGAAGTCCACTCAGCAGAACGCGTGGTTCCGCGCAACAAAAACAACTTTGAATCACGCTTGGTGAGTCTGAGATTTATGTGGGTTACCTATGTCCCTACACACAGCCAGCCCGTCAGTTAATACTGATTGCTCTTGCAATTCCACCCCTTCCGAACTTATGAACGTATAAAACACGTTTGACACATAATATGCGTATTCGGATAAATAAAGTACGAGCTTGTGAGGAACAAGTTAGTTGAGTTAGGAAAAGAAAGAAAGAACTATATAATTCTGAATTTTACATTGTGTAATACAAGCGAATGTAAATTAGCGTCGTTAACTGTTATTGTTTTTGCACTCAATACTACAAGTAATAATAACTTGATAATACACGAGAGCATTTTTCACATTAAGGCAAATATTTTAACCGTAATAATCATAACGTAATATGATACGCTATGATACAATTATCCTTGTGTAAAATCATTAAAGAGGATGGATAAATGCTTTGATATATTACACTCAGTCCAAAGTGACTGCTTTACGAGACACATGTAATACCAGGAAAAAGTTCTCGTTAACTTCATGAGCCTGCAAGATGTGTTTCCATAATATTCGTGACAAAAGGAAGTTTATCCTTATATAAAAGAGCTTAAACTTAATGACTGCTATGGAGATAAGAGTTTTCCATTACGCTAATGTACCGCCTACGGATTTCATACGGCGCGCTTTATTTTCATTCATTACATAGCAAAAGTTCGGCTATGCCGACCTAACAACATCGGAAGTTATCACGGCTGCATAACTTTCCATTACAATTGCACGCTAAGAATTTCTTTCTCGCAAGATAATACGTACAGGGTGCTTCAAATTTTCTTATTCAACAATCTCTTTCATATAAAATTGTATTGGTCTACACTGAAAAAAAAAAAATTGATTGCTGTAACAATTTAGATAGTAAAATATGGCATAGCATTTTTATATGGCTGCAACCAGCCTATCGAAATCATATACTGACATTGCGGATAGACGTAACTAAAAATTTGCTGCTACAATCAAAAACTGGTTGCTGCAGCCATATAAAAAAAAATGTTATGCCATATTTTACTATCTAAATTGTTGCAGCAATCAATCTTTTTTTTTCAGTGTACCGATCGATTTATTTAATGCACAAATATTTTAAATAATTTCGAAAGATTTTTGCAAGACATTTTTGTAAGAAAAAAAATTTCTCTCTCACGAATATATCTGTTTAAAATTTTCAAAGTATCTATTTTTTTGTTTGAATCTTACCCATTTGTTACATATTATAAACGTAGGAAATAAATAAAATAATCTACTACCGTAACCGAGTAGTTACTTTCAAAAACTACTTAAAAATTATGAAATGCATGACCAATGTATTTTGTAAATATCAAAATAATCCAAGAATCCGTGAATTTGTCACGAATTTTATCCTCAGATAAATATATGATCCCGACGTTCACTGTCGTTAATGTTAAATCCGGAAGCAGCCAGTTAATCGACAACTGTCGAAGAATTTAATGAAATTTGTTTCTCGATCGCTCGCAAACGCATGCTTTTTAATTAAAATTATGCAAATCCACGATTAATGGCGCGATCGGGGAATCGACACGCGAGTAATGATCACAGAATATTTAAACACGAAAAAATATCCATTTTGAATGTATTCCCGTAGCATACAAAAAGAATACATTAAATCATAGAGTGATTAAAATGGTCGACTGCAATCTGATAGAATATTGAACCACATAATCGTACAGAAGTTTCATAATTTCAGTAGAATATTAATGATCAAAATAAATGGCATCGCGATTCTCAGAGAAATAATTTAATATGGCTTTTGTAACGTTGACTATATTGTACGTGTATATTAGTTATGTATCATGTAAATCTTTCTTAAAAACTAGGTTCACAATTTGTGATGCATCAAATCGCGCAAATCCGTGAAAAGTATCATATTTTACAAGAGCTTAATTTTCACATTATTCATTACCACGAAACCACATTTTGCGTACCCATTAATTAAATCGATATTCTCCGGTGTTACAAATATTATTACGGAAATAGGCTATGCACAACATCCGAATTTCAATCATTTGAATAATCTCGTTATATACGAAATTCTCATCCAACCGCTATTTCAATCGTTTTATGGAAAGTTCCATAAGGTGTGCTAATGTCTGCAACTATAGATATCTATATATCGAAATTCATGAATGAAAAAAGCACGATAAAAAAAGCGATGACTAGCAAAAACTAGCAAAAAGAAATGATATATGAATAATAAAAAAGAATTTTTTAAAATCTGTTCTCTCCATGAAGTAACAATCATTTTTACAACGATGAATAAACCATTATATTTTCAGTAAAATAACGACCATACTTTTAATATATTTGTTTAATATAATAACAATTATACATATAATTATATAAACTATAAACATTATACTAAAATTATTCGTTTGTCACAATTTTACTACTCTTTTAGCTTTATTAAAATTATTCATTTTACGCAGGATTTAAAATTCATTTTTCGGCAGTAGTACTTTTCATAAATTTTCGTTAATTACGTTATTATTACGCTCGGTTCTGTTCAATCAAACAATAGACTACCTACATAATCGATCATTGACGTGATTCAACATTATCCGCTCACGGAGCGGAAAAATGGAGCGAAAGCTACTCGCAAAATTTCGATGCATTGTTGTATCAATGAAAGCGTTAGAGCAAGAACGAAAGAGTAGAGTTGCTAATCACGCGATATCGTGCGTATAGTTCGTGCGGTTTCATCATTAGACCGCTTTTCTTCGCGTATCGTGTGCAGTATTATTAGAACATGAAAAGTAAAATGTATAAGGTGTCATAAAATATAATAAACGAAAGTCAATCATAGAAATACACGATACATTTCAATCTCCAATGTATTCAAAATCAGACATTTCTAACAGACTTTTATCGCAAAAACCGAAATTTTTTTACATTAAATGTCTATCTAGAAAATACGCAGTTTTTTTTGGCGACAGGTTCAAATTGGCGAAAATCTGTTATCGGTTTATAAGCTCCCGTAGGCGCCCATGAATGATTACATCCGAACTGTCCTGAAGCATATTTATATTTGATTTTTATTTACTCTTGTTTTTTTGTATCATTGGAATTTTTTTTAATGTTTGCGACGACCTAAATAAATATCCCATTATCGAAATTTGCAAATCTGTTTCTAAAAATGTATTTGTAATTTTTTAAAGCTGCATATTTCAAAGAAGATGAAAATAAATTTCCAATCATTATCTTTATCTTGTTTATCATATTCGAAAATATCAATAAATGTACATATCACTAAAATTCAATAAAATCTAATTTAATTTAATTCATATTACGTTAAAATCATATTAAAATATATGTTGCATTTTTAATTTATATTATAATAAAAAATTAAAATATATTAGATATCTTTTTAAAAAACCAATAGAGAATATGATTATATAAATGCATCATATTTTGTGCTAAAATAAAATAGTATCAAGAAAGGTTAATTAAATATTCGGTAAACTCTTTTTATAGAATTCGCTTGTTCTTCATTTTTCTCTCTGTTTACTGTGCTTCGCGTATCGTAAAGTTTACGGAGATGAATAAAACAGAAGGATTTTCACGAAATAATTTTCACAAAGTCGAGTAACTGTGAAGTTGTCTTCGTCGCGCGTATAATTTTGAGATTAATATTAAACAGCGTCTAATAATTGTTCCCGTAACACATAACGTCTACTTGCCACGATTCTCTCACAATTGTTTAAATTATTGTATTTCGTTCATATACACTTTCATTCTGATATTTCTCGCCTCCTATCTCTCTCCCTTTTCGTCTTCCCGACAACATCAAAGTTTTAAGACTTCCTATCGCATTGCCGTCAAAACTCGCGAGAACCGCAAGTTTCCTCAAGGCAGGATTTTAATATTGCTTTTAGAGTACCAAATGTATTATTGTTCTCTATTCATACTGCATTCAGAAAATGTACAAAATATATTTATATTCGTATTAACATTTAAATTATCTAGCGAACAACAATAATTTGTCAAATTGTTGCGATTAATTCAGCTTGAGAAATCTCGGGAGTCTGTTCGCGTGATAAAATCGAAGGAAACATTTAATAAATGCAGATCTCTCGATTTTACGACTTAATGTACAAGCCATCTCGTTTCCTCTGAGATGCTCGGTCGGGCGACGCTCTAAGTCGCTGCCGATATTGCTGAATCTATCGCGGCCTTATCAGCCTTCATTAGGCGAATCGCACGGAAGAAAAAAAGGAGAGAAAAAGCAAGCAAGTGAGAGAGAGAGAGAGAAAGGACTAGTGCAATTCTGCTAGAAATTCAGAGTCACCACAGTCGAATGCTTCGCAGCTCTCGCCATAATCCGATTTTGCGTCTCTCTTCTTTCCTGGATCCGCTGTCGCGCGAATACCCTCTCTCGCGCGTTCCTCCCGTTTGCTTTTCAACTGATAACTAGTAATTAAACAGCTCCAACAACGGAATAGGGCATTTACTCATGCAATTCCTATCCCTGCCTCCGCCTTTCTTTAGCATCCTCTCTCTCTCTCTCTCTCTCTCTCTCTACTATTACTACTACTAATACCACTACTAACACCTCCTCTTCACCCGGCCGCACCGCTTATTCTACATCCCGTAACTCCACTTTCAGAGCTATTGTCCATCGTGCGAATGGTCCATGCGGGGGTGACGGGATGGAGGGGAGGACGCGTGGATGCCCACGGGAAATTATTAGTTGTGAATCTATTCATCTTACCAGAGAAAACCGCTACGGGATATCCTGATACGATTCTCAATATGCTTCGTAATAAAGCTGGACGCGCGCGCCTCGAAATTTCTAGCCCGGAGGGCAACCAGCTGCGCGTGTATTTCTGCCATTCTCAACCAGAAAATGCGAAATGCACGCTTTAATACCGTGAAAATGTAAAAACTGAATATCGGATGATTAAGCGAGCGGGAAAGTGGGATGAACGTTCGATGGAGATTAGCTCTGGAGCTTCTGTTTATTATTGAAATATAAAATAAAGATTTGAAATAAAAACGGGATTACGTCGTAATCATGATTTTGCGACAAATGATACTTTTTCGTGGAGCGCATATACTGTTACAGACATTAACACAACTTTTTAAATCCATTTCTATTTTTAAGTCTTTAAACGCTTCAGTTTTTTCGGAAATTACGGATTCTGCCTTTAAAAGCAACGCGTTTCATGAAAGTTAATTATATTATGAGTTTTATGAGGCTATATATTTTACGAGAAATTTTTAAGAGAAAGGATAAAAATGTCCGAATGCTCCGATTTTTCGCTCCTTTAGGCAAATGCACTTTGCACGGCAATTTCATTCGCACTCGTGACACAATAGTAAATGGTACTGCACCGCGAGACCGCAGAACTCCTAATTAGAGCGGACGAGATCGATTTCCTGCGGAGGCCACAGTTAGAAAAGCGACTAAACGAACCTGCTTTACAAGAAGGCGTCAACGGAAAGCATATTCGATTCAGCGCTGATTGCATGAAAGAAGGCAAGCTCGTAAATCGTAGAATCGTCGATTTCCGATATTTCTCACATTTAAAAAGATCTCCATACATATTTATGAAATCGTCTTGTATCACGCGCTATTATTCGATATACTATGATTTTACCATTATGCTATTGTGCGTAGAAAATTGACAATAGCATCGCATATTCAAACTTAAGAAAAATAGAACCAACTAATGTCGTAACATTTTTTATCTTGCAAAATATTACATACTCGCAAGTATTATTATAGATACTTGGAATATTTTTTCTGAGAAATAATAATGATGACTTTTTTTTAAGAATTTAAAGAATGTATAACTCAATGTATAATTATTTCTGACATTTTGTACCAGATATTTTAATTAAGTATCTTAATATATCCTCTTATTTTTATTATACCTAGATATAAAAGTGATGTAAGATTGCAAATATTAATATATTTGTATGAATTTAATTAATAAATATTACATTAGATTGCATGTTGCTGATTAATCAGCAAAAAAAAAACAGAATTATCGGAGTAATCGCGAAACGCTTTGAAAAACAAAATACCTGTATCCGATAGATATCTGTTGGCTCGCATGAAATTGCAATAATATGTTTATGCGGTAAAAATCGTGCGAAGAGTACATAAATCGTGAGATACAGGACAATACCGTAGATAATGGCGACACTCTATGGGAAATGGGAATACGATTATTCTAGTGATCCCTATAACACAGCGAACGCGGAAGGACGCTGCGGCACTTGCAGCCCGGAGATCTCATATCGATAACAAACAGCAGGAACTCTCGCATGAGGTGTCTAATTAGAGCCGATAAGCTTGATTTCCGCGACACGCACGCACATACGTGCGCAATTGTGTTTGAACAGGTCCGGCAGAACAATCATGTTACGGCATTATGCACGGAAATTCGTTTCGCAACTTCATTAATTGATCGTTGCAAATCGCATCCCTCTCAACAATTCCGAGGCTATCGGTTTTTATCCATGAACAACATCGTGAAAATTTTGAATACAGTTTGTGGAATTCACGAAAGCTGATATTGCTTAAATTTTCGAAATTTTCCAACTACTTTCATCGGAATACGTTAAAGAAAATTTATTATTCTAAATAAATTAATTAATAGAAATAATTTTACTTTCGATCAAAGCGATCAATTCTTTTAATGCTTAATAATACTAAATGCAAATATATTATTTCAGTTTCACAGACTACGCGCCAATAAAGTTTGCTGGACTCGAAACACACAGTCATACTTCAACTGAAGCTGAAGAAATTAATATCTCAAATTAAATTGATTTTCCATTTAATTTCCATTTAATCCGTTCCACATTTTAATTCATCCATAATATTCCAAATAATTATTTAAGATGTATCGTAATATATTACAATGAATAATATTGAAAACTTGCATTTTTATTGGAATGTTTCTCTAAAAGATGACTGTAGCTTTTAAGTGTATATATATATATATAAAACCTTAAGTTTTTAAGTCCCACGGGCAACATTATGGTAATAAAAGCATAAGAATTCCGGTCACGGGTCAATTCCCTGACGCGGGTGTTTTCTCGAGCGATGCTATTTTTAACTGTAACGTTTCTTGCAGATCACGTGGATCGATGGACTGGGCAACGTGCTACGCCATGGCATCAAAACCACGAAGGAAGCGTACGATAACGGTCCGCTGATTACTGTAAAGTCCGTCCTGAGAGTGATGCCGCGAAAGGATCACGACAACACGACTTTCACGTGCCAAAGTCAAAATATGGCGGATCGTTCGCCGCAAAGCGCCAAACTTCGCGTCGAGGTACGTAGAAAATAATTGGGCCCCAGTCTTAGTGCGCACTATACGATTCCGATAAGAATTTGAACCAGTTCAAACACATAGGAAACACATAGGATATAATATCATGAAATAAGTCTGTGAACCGTGTCAGCAAGACGGCGAGAAATCGAAGAAAAATAAAAGAAAATGGGAAGCGGGGGAAGATAGAAATCTCGTTTAAAGGGAAATAAAATCACTGGCCTTTTACGCTCGCGCGTTCTTTTTACTCGCTGACCGGAGGAAGAAATTAACGCGAGTCGCGCAAAAGCAGGGCCCGGGACGAGGGTAGAGAAGAGGGTAACAAGGGTAACGAGGCGACGTATAATAATTAACGTCGTGTCTTGAGAAGCGGTTAGCGCGCGGTAATCGCCATCCGCTGGCGCAACTTTCGTGCTGCGAACGCGCGCGAGTACTTTGGCGCGTTCTCCGGCGAGTACTACTTCCGCTCTCTTTTCTTCGGAGACGTAGACTCCATTATCCGAAGTGGCAAAGGGAACAAATAGTTTCATGGAAAAGGGCAACGAAGCGAACTCGCAGAGATTTTTACCCGGGCAGAACATTCGAATTTGTGACGACGACGACGACGACGACGACGATGAGGACGAGAACGAGGACGAGAACGAGGATGGAGATGGCGCGATATTGCGAACACACCGACTGCCCGACCTGCAGAGAAAATTTTTACGAGTTATTACTTAACTCTTTTATACTGGCGCCAGATATATTACCCGCGCTTTTCACGACTCCTAATATATAAGTTCGACGTTAATATCGTGTCCTAATTGGAAGCAATTCTTACGCAAGTGAGTTCGAGCAAAGTCCTATTTCTTCGATGCGATTTCTTTTTTATCATCCACGCACGTGTCGACAAAAATGAAGAAAAATTTAAGTTTTGATATATAGAGAGAATATTTTATCTTTATTACATAATGACAAATTTTTCTTCTTGATTCAGAGTAGATTTCTACTAAAATATCTGTGTTATTAACTTCTTCTTTTAAATTATATAACGTTTTTATATCGAATAAATCCCAATATAATATTAATATCAAAAATAAATCTTTTAATATCTATTAAATTTAATATTTAAATATTAAAATCTTTAAATACTAAAATTCTGTTTAAACGTATTCGAAGTTTAATGCAGAATAAGCTGTATTACTAATGGCAATTTTTCAAGTTTATGCTCATAAAAGTATTAATCGTTAATATTTTCAGTAGAAGGAAATTTATATTATTTGAACAAAACAATCAGATATGGTCAAAGGAAGCATAGTGCATCGAGGAAACAAATGCAACGTAATGCAACAAATGCCTCGTTATTAATTTTTAAATTGTGCAAAAAAATTATAGCCTTAAAAAGGATAGAGTTTCAAATAACATGATAAATATACGGCCCTAAAAGGTTTCGGACAAAATTTGAACAGATAAAATTTCATTCAATTCTGAAAGTGTATCGAGCGTGAGTAATATACTACGGGATATATCTCCTATTTCCCTTGTGAAATATATAACGAACGCTTCGAAAATTTCAAACGTGCAGTAATGGATATGCATCATTATTATTCCGGACTACGCACGTAACACAGCTCGGTACGAAAGCGCGACGGTAACATTGAACGGTTCGATTTCTGCGTGATGGGAAAAGCTTAGAAAATGGAGAAAGGCAATTCACGCATTTTGTTTTCAGGTACGTTACGCACCAAAGGTGTCCCTCTCGAAGATCGATCGCATCGTCGAAGGTTCCGAGCTTAGGTTCAAGTGTTGCGCCGAGGCCAATCCACCTGATGTAGAATACAGGTGAGTAGAAAAAAACTGACAGATATCGACGATATTTCCATTAATATTGGAAGAGAGGAGATTTAAATATCCGATTCTTCATTAAAATATTATAGAACAATTAATGTAGTTATGTCAGCTTTCAGAGAGATCATAAAAACTGTATTTTATTCTAAAACGTACGGAGCTGATAAAAAGTGCGCACATAAAATTAATTATTATTTATTAAAAACAGAAGAATAAGACTTCTCTCCACGCGGATTAACGGTAATTTGAACTTTACTCTAAATCAGGTCGCCGAGTTATTCAATAAAGTCAATATAGTTGAGCACGAGTTTCAAAATAGTTACTTAACAGTTATTCTCTGTGTACCTATAATTAGCATACAGTAAGTGAAATATTGATGACAGGAGGAGACAGAAGATGACGAATAATGCACGATTAAATTTTTCTACATGTTAAAAATCATCGTGATCGGTCGATAAAATATATACCAAATGCTCCGTTTTAATTCTTGTCTGAAATATTTTTCCAAACTTTCGGGTGTTTGCTGGGAAAATATTTGTCAGAAAGTGGCTTCGATCGAAACTGAAACTTCCCTTTCTGCATGCACAAATAAAATATGACGTACATAGGCGATTCAACTCATATCAGCTTCCTTTCCTTAAAGCGATCGGTTCCCTTAAGCTGCTTAAAGTTTCCGAAATATCGATAGTTTCTCACGATATCGTGTCGCTACAGGTGAGCGACGCCGTCGGCGCAGCGAGCACGCGAGGGCGCGTAAGCAAAACGTGAGTCGCGTTGTTCGTACATTGGCTGCGAGCGACAAAGAGAAGGTGGATGATCGATATCCGTCTCTACAAAGAGGACAATGTCAAATTCAGGACGGTGTTGCGCGCGCACGTGTTAACGTGGAGCGCGTTTGCGGGTTTCGCCTAGCGGGCCCGCTTTGATTGCTTTTAAATTATTCGTTACGCAACATCCCGCCGGGGAAAAAAAAAAAAAAACTGCTCGCCCTGGATGACGCGCTGTATTAATTTACGAGATTATCGGATGGTCGCTCGAATTAAATCGGCTCGACGAAAATATCACCCCCCGAGAAAGCGCAGATTGCATATATAAAAAAAACATTACTGCAATTTGTAAAATCAAGTCCCTTTTTTTTTTTATATTTTTTAGACGAGGCTTTCGATCGTTTAACGTGAATTGTATTGACGTACAACGTACGCTGTATACGGTGCTCCACGCTCTTTTATATCGCTGCTGCGTTTCGCTGCGCAAGTTTAAATTAACTTCATATATAATCAAAGGTAGAAACAAAAGGATTTCGATTTACAACGATTTTTTGCGACTGAGATTTAAATTGCGGCTCTTTTTCCGTACATAAACTGAACGGAAAGCTTTTACACGGATACAAAAGCTCAAAATCGTTTTCTTTTCCTTTTTGTCACGACGGACTTTCTCCAGGCGTAGGTGATGCGTGTGTGTGTGTGTGTGTGTGTGTGTGTGTGTGTGCGTTAAAGCTCCGTGGAAAAAAAGAAACTTGATCCGCTTATGGGACTTCACGGACAGTAGGATAGACAGAGAAGCGAGTAAAGAGCAGCGAGAGAACCACATTGTATTGACGATAACGAACGTTAGTTACCAGTCGCTTTAACAGCTTTTATAGCTTCCGCAGCTTTTTTATAGCTTTCACAACGGTCGTCGTCGCGCCACTATTCGTAAAAAAAAGATCCGAATGCAAGTGAAAACTGAGGAAGCGACGAGACCGGCGACATGATTTTCCGTGTTCTCGCGCGGCGTTAAGTAACGAGATGACAAAAGTAACAAAATCTCCTATCGTATCAGTTTTTAAATGATCTCTCATTACAGCAGAGAAAGGATCGTATAATATTCAAGGAAATGTAGGAAACTCAGATAAGAGATAACTTAACTCGTTGGGTTAATTAATTTCGGATACTAATTAAATTTGCGTTATTTCATTTCCGTGATCACAATCGCTTTGATAAATTCTCGAGTTACAGAAAATAGAATGATACGAAAAATATATTCTTATCATCGTGTAGTTGAATTTCCTGCTCTACCCAAATTATTACATTTATGAAGAAAGCAATTAATATTAGAAAATTAGAAAATAAATCTTAAAATCGGAGCGCATAAACTCTTCGAGAAAGACTTATTTTTCCTATCTCGCGCTAGAAATGAGAAATAACCTCCTCTGATGACAAATACATATAACGTATTACAACTCGAGATAGAAAGGTATTGCTGGAATCATAAAACTTCTTTCAATCTCGCTGCGAAGTAAAATATCTTCCTAAAGTTAGATCGTGTCTTCCGCAAACACTATAGATGCGTGTACGCGAAAGAGTTGAACTTTGCCGGAAGATACGAGATGACCTACAGACATTTCAATATTTATCGAGTCGTTATGGCACGGTATTCGCGCGAATGTACGTTGCACAGCGCTTTTGCCGGCATCTTTGCGAGGTAAATTGTCTGTCGGACGGCTCTACGGCTCCGATAAAATCGATTGCAATGCGAGAGGTGAAGAGCGCGAGAAAGGAGGGGGTTAGCAGAGGGTGGCGAAGGGTGATGGGTCTCTCTTGCCTAGAGACACACGAGCTTGGTAAGTCGTCGTTCCGGTTCGATTCGGTTCTTCTCTCACTCACTCTTTCTTCTTCTCCCTGATTGTACGCGAAGGCCGTTTCGTCGCTGTGAAAAGCGCAGCCTGCCCTCTCCCGTTTATTACCATTCGAAACGACGACGCTGAGGCTCTTTTCCTCGATTGTGCGGCCAAACGATGCTCGAGATAAATCGCTCAGATCCTTCGTGAAGATGCCTCAGTTGGCAAAAGTCGAGTGGCAAGAATAGCTCGCGATAAAGAAACGTCATAAAGTACGTGTAAAATGTCAACCGAACCAAATTTACCGTGCTCGTTGATTAATTTAAAATCGACTTCTCTCTACATTGTAAATATTGAGAAATTAATCATTTTTCAATTATAAAAACGATCGAAAATGAAATTAAATTTGAGAGACAAATAAACGTTAAGATAATTTTTCATTTAATTTTTAATTAACTAGGACTTTTAGCTTGAGATCTAATTAACGAAATGTTTATCAAGTGTTAAGAGAAAAGTATTCAGTTAAAAAAAAAATCAAATTTAATTAAAAAATACGTGCACATCTTGCATAATTTAGAGATATCTCGCATATATAACGCGAGATCAGCGAAAAAACGGGTATGGCATTGAGTCGCAGAAGTAATCGTTTAAATGCATCGTGTTATTAAAAAGTCGTATTGATCCGGAGCGGGAGATGGCGACGCTAGAAAGTTATAGAACGATAGAAGAAGAAAACGTGATTTGTGTGTGTGTGTGTATGTGTATCTGTGAAAAACGCCTGATAATCCGTGAGTTTTTGATCCACGTCGACTTATTACACCCGTCAATGGTCAAATAATTATAGAGGATAAAGAGGAGAGATGCTATTTTAGTCCTCTTTAAATGACGTTTATTTCGCTTTTCTTTTCCAGGTGGTTTATCAACAAAAAAAAGGTGATCGGAGACTACACCACGGAGATGATTATTCACAATGCTACCCGTGAGTTGCACGACGCGACCGTAAAGTGCGAGGTTTCGAATGAAGTCGGTAAAAGCGAGGAGAGCCAAACCCTGGATATAAGATGTAAGCAAAAAGAAAACATTTCCGTAGGAAAAATAACAGTGGAGGTCAATAGTTTCTTAGAAACTATCATGTGTTTTAACATGGACTTTTTCTTCGATGCTTAAATTCCGCGATCACGCGAAGATTCCAACGTTCATTTTGTGTGAGAAAAAAAATGATAGTTTCAACGCAGTAGTCTGAAAATACTATCGCGCAAAGATATAAAATAGAGCGTTACGCGTTTTGTACGCGCACTGCTCGAGACCACGTTAAGAGAGAATTTCGTTTTACCGTAAAGCCGGTACACCTTATAGACGTGTTAAAGGAGTAATCGCGGTAACGATATAAAATATAGAGCCACGACGCGGAAACGCGCTCTCGAAATAAGCCACGCCGGAATAGACGCGCGGCAATAAGGAAGTAACATTTTTCCTCTCCCACCCCCCACGAGTTCATTTTCGTGCGAAAGCTGACCTGGAAGGGGGTTAAAATTGAATTTTCTCAGACGGCCCGCAGTTTCGGCACCCGCCGCTCTCCGTGGAAACACATTATGGCGCCACGGAGATCCTGCAGTGCGACGTAGACGGGAATCCAATGGCCGAGATCGAGTGGTACCACGAGGATTCGGACCGAATGGTCGCCAACAGTCCGAACATAAGCGTCGTTGTGAGCTCCGACACTGCCGGCCGTTACTACTGCAAGGCCCGTGTGCACGGCTTTCCGGAATTAACTGGCCATGCCAACATCTACATTCGCGCGCCGCCCAGCATAGTGTCGCAAAGGATCCAATATGTGCCTGACGAAGGAGTGGTCAAGGTACACATATACATTGATAGGACAATGTTCTTTGATCCGCTATCGGTCGGTTAAGTATCATGCTCAGTGCGACTATCATTCGCAAAGGTACGCAGGACCCAGCGCGTAATTTTCTTGAGTGCCGTTGTGCCGGACGTCCCGCGCATGTATATTATGAATTATTATTACATGGAAGTATCCCTCCTACTGGAAAGATCTTTTAAGTTGGGGACGGCAGTTATCAGGAAGCACTCAGTATAATTTACTCTGGATAATTTAGCTTCATCCGCGGCGTGAAAATACGCTTGAGAGTCTGCTAAGGCGATCAACGTACGGGGTGTTCCAAATAGTCTCGATAAACATTTTCACATCAAAACGAGGAGAAAAGTCCGTATCAACATCCGACCTGAAATGCATTTTTATAAGTACTTTTGTTGATACGATAGCTCAAGTAGAACAACAGATTACGATAACATCAAAATGATATCAATATGGATCGTGACTGATAAAAATGACTTTTAATAATCATTTTGAGATCACTTTGACGTCATCATGACTTGGTGTACTTGAGAAGTTATGATTAAGCAATATGCACAAAACCGACGTAATAATAAACACAAGATAAACATTTATCCAAAACTCATTTCAATTAAAATTATATCGATTTCAATCTTCGTTGAAAAAGGTGTAGACATTTGCGGACATATGTCGATACGAATTTTTGTCTCGTATTTCAACTGAGAATGAACTGGCATCCAAAGCTCGTCCAAGCGTTTCGCCAGCATTCTATATACGTATCTTCACGCTGACACAGGAGTTCACGATGATCGCGCGATGCCATTCCCACATTTTTCTCTCTGCTGATGCTTGAAACACTTTTAGAGGAGACCGAAGAGCGCGGGTCACCCCAGTTGACGAAGGTGAAAGACCGGGGTCGCCGATGAAGGGTGGAATGGGACTCGCGCTTAACCGCAATTTTTTTATTTCACCGGCGTTTTTCCCCGATTTGCTTCCCAGGTTAAGTGCACCGCGATATCCGTGCCAAAAGCGGAATCGGTGGTATGGAGCTTCGCCGGTCGCGAGCTCAATTTCACGTCGAACAATACGCCGTTCTACGTGCAAGAGGAATACGCGGCCGAGAGGGTAGTCAGCACTGTCACCCTACTGGATCCCATATCGACGTACTTTGGGGATTACAACTGCACGGTTACGAACAGCTTCGGCACGGATTCTGTCATCATCAAACTGACAGCACACAGTAAGTGTTTGATATCTGACAGATTACTCTCTTACTATCGCCTGATCGCATCTCATCTCTAGATAAGCTTTTGAACATCTTGCGAATTCAAACGTACATATTGTTGGATAATAGATTCATTTAGCAAAGGATTGCCAAAAATGGTAAAATGATTTTCCCTTCCTTAGTCTCCATAAAGTTTTAATTTTAATATTTTTGCTAAATACCGATATATATATATATATATAATTTTCTACGATACTATAATTCAATATTTTTTTGAAAGCTGATTAAATAATTTATCAATAATCACAAAGTGAATTTTTCTCTTTTTCTCTCTTTTTTATTAAATATTTAAATATTTGTTATGTAATTTTATACGATACTATAGTTCAATATTATTTAAAAAGCTAATTAAATTCAATATTTTATTAAGTATTTATGAAATAAACATCGTGTCTTCTTTTACAATTTGAAAATATCAATATTGAGTGAATCAAGGCCCGGTTGCACCAACGTTAATTTTAAGCAAGACTTAAAACTTTCTTTGTCTCTATCTCTTTTCGGTTTTAAAACGAGATAGAAAGTTTTAAATTTCGCTTAAAATCAAAGTAACGTTGGTGCAACTAGGTCTTAGTGATCATATTTTCCAGAATAAAATCTTTTACGCAATCGCATAAAATTTTGATTCAAATTCCAATTTTACTTAAAAGAAGATCTTTAATCTTTTTAATGTAAAATTAATTAAAAAATTAAATTTTGCTTCCTTACATCTTTACAATTTACTTAACAAGATTTCTTTTTTAACTGAAAAATAATGTATATACATCAAATGCTTCCTTTAAAGCATTTTTATTTTTAATATTAATATTTCGTCAAATGTGCAAAATGTATTAATAATATTTTCTGTGTTAAATTGAAGTTTTATATACTCACCATCACAGCGACGATCTCGGTCTTCTTTGAATAAAACTGGCGACGATCTCTTGATGTGTTTTTCGATACACTTCAATCCGAGATTAATTAAAACATCGATGTTGTATCTAAAATTAGAAAATATTTAATTCTTTTAATCTAAAATTAACTAAGAAATTAAATTTTGCTACTCTCTTCATCTTAATCTACATATTCTATTTAGTAAAATCCTTTTTAATTTATAATTAAAATTATTTATGTACATCTGTGTTTTTCTTCTAAAGTAATTTTATTTTTAGTTTAGGTGTATCACCAAATGCATTAAATATATCAATTATTTGAATTAAATTTAAATCTTCGTATACTCATGATCACAGTGACAATCTCAGTTTCGATTGATGCTTTTCTAATGATTAATTGAAACATTGATTTTTCCTAAAATTAGAAAACTATTTTTTGAAATCTGAAATTAAATTAATTTAAAACTTAAATTTTTCTTTTTGTATCCTCACACAATTCTGTTTGATAAAATTTTATTTATTTAAAACTGAAGAAATTTTATTATATACATTAATATTCTTCCTCTAAAGTAATTTTATTTTTAGTCAATGCAAGACCAAATGCGCTAAATGTATTTATTACACAAGCACACAAAACAAAATTTGATGTTTGATCCAGAGATTAGATCATGATATTCTTGTATGTATTTCATTGAAATCTAATCCGATGTTCAAACTGGTCCATTACGTCACATTTTTTTATCGATGAAAAATAGCTCGATTTTCCAGTATTTTTCGAGCCATTTATGGCCTAGTTTTTAATATGCAAGCTGAGATTAAAGAGAGAAAGTAAGTCAACGATAATAAGTTTATAAAGTTAATATGGCAAGTTAAAAATACCAAAAAATCGAGCTATTTCTGTTGATTAAAAAATGAAGCAATTTGGACGTTACTTCAATTTCAAATCAAAATTCAAAATACATACGATACCACGATCTAATTTCCAGATGAAAAAATTTATGTGTGTTTGTGTCATCTGAATTAAATTTAAATTCTATCGTCTATTTTCTATAGCTGGACATTTTTAGAACGCAAAATGAAATAGATACATTTACGTTTGATGTCTGATGAAAGCGACAAAAAAAATTCTAGTGCAGGAATGAAAAATAGGAGAGAGTTGTATATCTTAAAACGAGATGAAAGTTATATTGATGAATATTAGTAAATTTCCATTGGTGTGTATGTGTCAATATTTAGACAATTTCCATTGGTCAATATTTAATAAATTTCATTTTTAACGCTCATTAATGCTCGCTTTTATAAATCATCTCATTGCAAGATACACAAATCTCTTCATCTTTTATATACTCACAATCACTGCGGCTTCTCTCGATCGAAACTGATGACGATCTCTCGATGTATTCCGAAATTACACTCACGGATATAATAATATACTTATGGATTCTCCCGTTATCGATCGCTAAATTAAATTATTAATGATATATGACTGATTTATCACCCGATATAACGAAACGGCGCTTCCGGACTTGTTTTCAATTTTCGATCGAATGTTTTCGCGCGACGCGAAATTCCGAGAAGTGGCAACACCACCGATTCCGGGAAGACGCGCGACGCGAGCAAACATGGCGAGCACGATGCCGGCCGTTATCCAAATATTCTAGACGAGCGCGGAATCGTCCGTCTCCATTGATCCACGGTGGAGGTTTCTCGACGTTTCCTTCGATGCTTTTCGATGTTCCGGGAAACGGAGAAATGACACTCGCAACGCAGATGAACGAAATATGGGAAACGGATGGATTTTGTCGACGAATCCTGCCCGCGTCGCGTCGCGTCGCGTTGCGTCGCAACACGTACTGACCGGCCGTTGAGTGAAATTCAGTTACGTGACCGCAGCTAACTTCACGCGTTCCGTAAAAATTCCAGACGGACTGCCGATTTCGAGTCCCGAGTGGCGTGTTAATCACGATCGCACTGGTCAATTAACACACGATTGCTCGTCACTAGATTCAGTATCACCGACACTCGCTGTACGCAGAATTTATTGGAGCTTATCCGGTAAAAAGGCGTGAGAAACCGCAGCAATTGCGATCCGCCATGTCCCGAAGAACGCGCGACACGTAATGCCGTTACTAGGCGGTTAAAAAAATTTAGTAACGCGACTAACTTCGCGCGCTTCGGAAAATTTTCCGATGAGACGGCCGCCGATTTCGAGGCTCGAGAGACATTAATCGCGATCGTACGAGTTAACCCAGTTAACAGTATTAACACATCGTGACAATCATCTGTTTTGAATTCACTATTCTAGACACTTGGTTACACACAGGGTTTATCCAAGACGAGTAAAAAGACGTGAGGATACGCGACGATTGCGATCCGACATGCTTCACTGAGGAGCGCGCGACACGTAATGCCGTACTAGGCGGTTAAAAAAATTTGGTAACGCGACTCGCGGCTAACTTCGCGCGCTCTGGAAAATTTTCCGATGAGACGACCGCCAATGTCGAGGCTCGAGAAACATTAATCTGATTAATCGCGATCATGCAAGCCAGTTAATACATCGTGACGATCACCCGTATCGAATTACCCGTATCCCCAACACTCGTTTATATGTACGTAGGATTTAATGGGATTGGAATAAAAAGACGCGAAGATACGCGACGATTGCGATCCGACATGCACCGACATTCACTGCGAAGCGCGCGACACGTACTGCCGTAGGTGATTAGGAAAATTTGATCACATGACCGCGGCTAACTTCGTATAAAATTTTCTAACTGATCGAGCGCAAAGTGACGGGCGCCGATCGCAAGACATGTTAATCGCAATTACATGGGCCGAATAATAGATGATTTTTATATCGCTCGACTCGACATTCCCGATACTCATTTCGCTGAATTCACCTTCACTCAGGAATGGATAAAAAGACGAGAGGATCGCAAAACGCCGGCGATTGCAATTCGACATGCACTCGGGAGGCGCGCGTACCATCTACCGGCCGGTGATTAGCAAAATTCGACACGTCATCATGGCTAATTTCATGCGGTGTTTTGCTAAAATGCCGAAAGGATATTAACACTGCCGGGACGGCGTAAAACTGTCCTTTACATGGGCACAACACGTTGTATTTTCTCTTTTAAAGCGCATTCATCAGAGAGCAAAGACACTTAGACAGAAAGCATTAACTGTTATTGGCGTATTTTTAACATGTCCTCTATTCTGACTTTCCTGAAAGGTTATGTATAGCTTGCAAAGTGAAAATTATAAATTATAAATTTTTTACAAATTTTTATCTTACATATATTAATCGTCGACTAACAGGTCTTTTTAGAAAAAGACAAAAGCAGACTACTCGCCGTTTTGCAGGCTAGACTTTTTTGCAAAAGGGCTAATTTCGCAAAAAGACTGTGACATTAATATTTTTAACCCTTCGCCAGCAACTGTGGTCTTTAAGGACATCATCAATATTTTGATTATAAATTTTGGTAAATTTCTTGATAGATAAATTTAAATCTGTAAAATAAGTAAAATACAATCTGATTTCAGATAGTAAAAGTTTCTTGGTAAATCTTTGTATATCAGAATTTTTTTAGATTTTTATATAATTTGGAATAATAGAAAATTTACTTTAAATAGGAATCTTCGAAAAATGCAATGAATTTAATTATTCCAAATTATATAAAAATCTAAAAGAATTCTGATATGTGTCAAAGTTTTAACAAGGAATATTTACTATCGGATTTCCCGAAGACTTCTATTGCTGACGGAAGGAAATAAAATTCATATTATCGACGGGGTTAAAATGACTCAAATAAAATTAAATTAAAAGATCGAATCAGGCGAGCTTATAATATTCAATCAAATATCGAGCTTATAATATTTAATCAAAATATCAAAATATTCAATAAAAATGAGATTATTCCATTAAGATTAAACCCGCTAAACTAATAATAACATTATATCAATATTATAATTCCCTACTCAATAATATGTTATGGACAACACGTGTTATATTATGTTATATGTATAATGTTGAGTGGGAAATTATAATATTATTTATAACAATATTGTTAGTTTGTATTTAGCGGGAATTATTTTCTTCTCTAATCGCGGTAACAATAATGGGTGTGTATTTCTAGGACAAGAAATAATGGCATTGATCGAAACGCTACGTTTCGTTATAAGACCATCTCGTAATGAAAGAGTACCGCGTCGTTAACATGTAATTTTAGACATATATACTTGAAGGACGAATGTGTAATTCACGCCCGTATTGTCTCTCACCAAGTAATCGTTAAAACAAAAGAAGGATATATTAAAGGTGTTGTTACAAACGAGAAAGTTCTAATTTTACAATTGCGATATTAACGATTATGAGAAGCCATGTTTGCTCTTGAGAAGCAAACAATATGAACTATAATAATTGTAACTCGACGCGAATATATTATATGCTCATATGTGTACATAAGGTATACACATTTGTTTTATAGTAGCCATTCGTAAATAGCCATTTCTAAATGTGAAAGAAAAGTTTCTCTCAAAAACTTTCTCGCGTAAGAGAACAAAATATCTTTTATTTTAATAATTTCAATATTTTTGTTGAGAAAGAGTCTTTAAATATTTTTAGTAACTCATATAATCTAAATTTTTTATAATAATATAGATATATTGTATAAAAAATTTATTAAAAAGTTACGTAGTTTTATCGTTTTGATATCATAATATAGATCTATTATGGTAACTTATTACGGTAATTACGACAATATTAGAAATTTATATAGTTTTATTATTCTAACGTTATAAGCGTTTCATTGTTGATGTAATGGAAACTACGTAATTTTTCTCTTTGATTATACATCAAATTCATGGAAACAGATGTAGGTCTAATGGACATAGACAGTGTGTTATAAATCGGTTCGCTTTTTCCAAGAAGATCGAAACTGTGTAAAGTAGTTTAAGAACGATTAGGGAGTTGAAATATTGCCAGAGTCTCTTACCGCACGTATTCACCGAGATAACACCGATGATATACGTAGATATTTTGCGTACATTTAAATAAAAGCAAGGAAATAAGATACCTATCTAAATATCTGGTTGAATATATATCATCGTGTTTATTCAAAACATTTTTAACCACTGTTTACTCAAGAAAATGATGTGTATTTCCACTTTTCGGAATTGACATTGTTTCACAATATAGCTCCTCATAATCTGTAAGCTTTTTGAGCAGAAGTCAACGGGATATCTTTTTATATTATAATTTCAATTCTTTTGTACCGAGACTTTTACGATGTTCCGGAAAAATCACAATTTGTAAAAGTAATATGTCCGTGACGGAAAGCTTCATTACCATTCAATGCTTCTAAAAGATCAGAGAGATTCTGGATCAGCTCATTTGCGCTCATAGCTTTTCAGTTAATGATTTGCAAACTACTTTAACCGCTACTCACGATCAAATAATTACCTTCGACAAATGACTCACTATTAATGTCTATCAAACGTTATAATCTCTTTTCGAATCGCTACGTAATTGCTATTACATTCCGCGACTTAATTCTAAGAAAGGGAAACATAGGAGTGTAAAAACTTCCATAAAAAGTGGCACAGTTGATAAACTATCATGACTATCGAATTTATTACAACGGTAAATAGCTTACGCTTAATCTACGCGAAAGTATAGCAAAAAAGATACACGTTGAAGATTTATATATTACTGTTATTCAAGCGAAAGGTCTGGAATTCGATGTTATTGACTTGTGCCACTTTTCAAGCGGCGATGCGTATATTAATTAACGCGCCTCGCTCTTCTTCATATGGTAAACGAGATTTTAACCAGACATGACGCTTAGCGTTGATTCCAGTCGATTGGCAACTGATCTTGATCATCGCCGGGCTGGTTGTCTGCGTGATCCTAATTGGCATAATAGTCATACTCATTCTACAATGTCGCGATCGTATTAAGCAGCCACGACCGCGTACGGCGCAGAATCAAGAGACTGATTTGCGTAAGTAATTGTGACGTTAATACAGATACATACAAAATATTGTATCTACAGAATGTTACAAAAAAAACTGAGTGGTTAATCCCTTTAGATCTGATTTTAACGAAACCAAGTTAAAAAATCTTTTTTATTCAATTCAAATGTATTTTAATAAGTAGTAAACAATTGATTTGTCAAAATTTTGATTGTGTTGATAGAATTAAATAATTTCAACGGATAATATCTTCAAATTTGATGATTATATTACAATTTATTCTGATTCTGAAGGGGTTAAAGTAACAAATGTTATACCAATTTAATTATTAAATTTTTCAAGATATTTGTTCAACCTCGTTGCCGATTCATGTAGAGGAAACGGATTCTAATGCCGATCGATACAGAGAAAGCGATAGGAGCAGCAACCTCTCGGATGTCAAAGCGGACATCAGAGCGGGATCCAGTGTCAGCAACGCGGAAAGTGTCACAGCCCTTGACAGTGAAGGCGAAGGAAGTACTAGAGGAGTAAACGCTTTGGCGCTTGCTGGACCAGTGCCGAATCCATTATCCGGTTATCGTTACAGCGCTGATTATACTGAGCCTTCCTTCCCGCCGAAGAATAACGTAAGTCGATTTAAAATACTTACTCTTGAGATACTTTAACGAACGATTGTGAGATCTCCTAAATAAATTTGAAGAAAAAGATTCAATTATTTAAGAACAGATTTTGGAAAGAAATTTTTAAAAAAATATTTATAGAGAGATATTTCTCTCTTACGGAAGTAACAGTTTTGTTAAAGTATTAAAAAATTTAGTTAGATATAGATTTGAAAATAATTTTGTTGAACCATCAAAATAATTATGTAGAACGCTTAAACATTTAAGTGTTACATAATTATTTTAATGGTCCAAAGAAATTATTTTCAGATCTGTATCTAGCTAAATTTTTTGTTACATCAGCAAAATCGTTCTTTTCGTGTAATAGATTTCCAAGGGACATCCTAAAAATGTTCCCGAAATATCTCTCGGATAAAGTGTGCTGTATGAATTGTTATTTATGTCTTATTTATTCAATATTAAAAAGTGAGACGTGGCATCTGTTTCTGTAGGATGGCAGTAACAACAACGGTTACGTGCCATACGTTGACTATACTCGCGATTATATGCCACCAACGACACAGAGCATGGGCGCTTCGCGAGAGTCCTTGAGCAGGATATCCACGAGTGGTATCTTATCATCGAAAAAAATCGGACTCAGCTCGGCCAACCTGGGTAGCTCGACTCCACAGACAACGCCGATCGATCCGCGATTTTCTGCGACATATGGCAATCCCTATCTCAGGTAAGACAGATCTCTCTGTCGCTTGTTCACACCGAAAAAGAGTTTATTAAATTTTAATAAGTATTTGTTTTATACCACTAACTAAATATTTACTAAATATACATTTCTTTGGTACAAGAACCATTAATTTGATTTAAATACAGTTTTTTTATTAAATAAATATTTTATATACTGTAAATAAATATTTCATTAGTACTATATATTAAAACAAATATTTATATTAAAATTTAGTAAATTTTTTTCAGTGCAAACACAGGCCAGAAAGAAATCAAAAATTTATTACTTTATTATTAATCGATACTAAAAACTCTTCCTAAGTTTTCTAAAAAATGATCGCCTCTTAGATGTGTGAGACAATATATAATACAAGAAGAGCGATAGTCTCAGTGTACCTTTATTGTAATATAATTCCTTTCATGTAAGCCAAGGAAATAACCTTCGTTCACGCTCGATCAAAGTTCCAAAATTTCTGAGAGTGTCGACATAGCCTCGGAGCTCGTGCCGATGCCTCGGACTAATTATAATTGGCTCGTGTCATTGATCGGCTGTGGATACCTTAGGTGGCATCACGTTCCGTTTACGTATACGTCGTGCGACGCTTGTCATCCTCGTGTGCGGGAATCTCACGTTGTACGTGCCAGGAATGCGTTCGTCGCGAACGGCTAAATTAGATATGAGAGCGAGGCACGGCAGTGCCTCGTACGAGCTTCGGGAAATGCTTGCTCTATCTTAAAAAACGGAAATACGATGATTAAAGAATCAACCAAGATGCGATGGAGAATTCCTCAGAAAAACAGAACGTAAATTATATTCAAGGTTTCGCGTAAATTTCGTTTGCGACTGCACATTGCGTTCTGTTTTTCTCAGAATGAACTTTTAAAATTCTTGTTTCGCATCGCGTTCAGCGGTCCTTCTTTCAAAATTTTATACTCCTCCCACAGAAGATGACCTCGAAGAAAGATCGAAGTGTCTCACTATTGTGTCTGTATACCAAGTCCACGCTTCGCCACCTGCATCTGGCTCATACGTGCCTTTTCTTACCACTATTTATCTTCCTCTACCAAAGATGCAAACAGCAACAACCTCACGTGTTTTGTTTCAATTCAGACCCAGAATCCAAGACTCCTTTCGAGTCGGACTGGAGTACAAGACGAGACGAGACGGTTTCCTCGGTTCGACAACCCAAACTAGAAGTGAATTCGTTACGGTTTTAGTTCAGATATTCACGGTTATAATGTAGTAGAATAAAAGCCGACAAAGCCACGTGTCAACACGTGGAAGTCTCCTAAAATCATCCCTTTTCGAAATTTTTTCAGGAGAAGTATTTCAAAGAAACGCAATCATAAACATGACTGACGGAAGAGATATACTTCCTTGAAATTTAATTTTAGTTACTTTTGCAATTATCTTTATTCCTGTTTAGAGAGATTTAGGGAAGAGGCACGACTTTTCCTGGCCCTTCTCATCTACGTACATAATTATGAGTATCATTCGTAGCGAGATAAAATAAATATTATTGAACGCAACAGTTAGAATTTAAAATATCCCTTTGCAAACAAACTTTGCTTATTACTTAAATTTGTAAAGTGTCAAATATAAAGTGTCAATTATTAATCATTAATCAAGTGATACGATGAATATACATATATTCTCTAAATTTTTTAAAGTGAAATCTCACTTTAAGGAGTAAAAACTGAGCGAAAAATGAAAAAGAGAGACTCAAGTTTCAATTTTTAAGAGTGAGAATTTACTCTACAAAATGAGATTCATTCTAAAAGTTTCAGAGTGTACGTGAGAATATATTTGACGATGCATTGGGTGCTTATGTAGCGAAAACGTTGATGTACTCGTGACGCCTGGCAAGAAACGAAACCGCGACGAATTCGCTGGGAGTCAGATTCAGTTACTGTTTGCATACTTGTTTCTCGCTCTCTTCTCTTTCCGCGATTTAAATTCCAACGCCGGGAAAAAGCCCGATTTCCCGTCACTAACGCTATATTTCTTTCTTGCAAACGAATACAGAATGTCAGCGGCCGAGCAGCTACGACACGCGCCGCACACAGCCGTGCCGGGAGTCACGCCGGCACCACCACCGTACACGCAGGCAATGAGAATGAATAGCTTGAATACCTTGAACGGCGCTGGCCCTCAGGTTGGTACAATAGTGAAATGTATGTCAAATTCCTAAACGTAGTTACGCCGACACCGGAGTGCCGCGGCGCTTCATGCAACTTGGGGTAGATCGGGAGCAAACTGTCAATATTGCAAAGCCATTGCAACTGCGCGCGCGCTACTTTCATTTTGCAACGTTAATCCTTTCCCGTACGGCCCCATTCCAATTCCCCGACGCACGTAAATTTCTGCCTGGTAAATTGTTTTTGCCTGCTCTCTGCATCGCATACCATCGCGTAAGACGCGATGCGCAAAAAGAGCTTCACTCTTTTTGAAAAAAAAAAAGGAGAAGAAATTGAAAATCTAATAATCAGGTAAGTTGTATTTCGAGATACGGTTCGGGTTGGCTGGTTCATTCACGGTCTGGATTTAATTTTAGAGAATGTAAGCTCGGTATTAAAGGATGCATATAAATATATGGATTTCGGTAATTACACAGATGCGCATGGATTGCGATAGAATTAAATTGATTTATTTCTTGTCGTTTGGAATTATTTTATTTTTATATTTAATTATTTATTTTTTTCTTTGCCAACTGACAAAATTCGCAATATTGATTTATTACGCTTGACTTACATTCCGACTTAACCAGGCATGCTAATTAATATACATGTGTACATTTCGGGGCAAACGAATGGAGTAAAAAAAATTGATAATCTAGCGTACGGGCAATTGAGTGAAATAATAGCGTAAGCCAGTAATAATGTCACACGTTTGAAAAAGTGTAATACTTAGTTGCTATGGCGAAAATGTAAAATTTTCAATTTTTTCCTTTAGAATCGTAGAAAATGTATAATAACGTGGCTGAAATTCGTATTACACAGTTTCACAAATCCTTTTATTTCCCGAAATGAGAAAAAATATAGCTTTTACCACTTTTCCGCTCACATATTACTCGCTGGATGTTTTCATACTGTATAATTCAATCTTTGCACTATTTGAGGCTTTATAGTTTAATGGATATAGATGGAAACACACACACATTAGCTGGAATATCTGTTTTATGTTTCTATGGAGTTCGTGTAATTAAATATGTATGTCGCGTATCATAAAAATATATGAATGGTACTTCAACTTTTATAGATGTACAAAATAATGACATTTTCAAAAAAAGAAAAAAAAATTTTATTTCTATTTATTTATATGTAATTCTCGCCTACAAATTAACATAATGTTTGTAGAAAATCAGAATTTATAGATCAGAATCTGTGATTAATCTCTTCTTTATTCAATGAACATGACAAGCGATTAATTTCAACAAAGCTCGTTCTGTATGGGGACATATATCTATATGTAAATACATATCTTAACTTAACAAATATCGTTCTCGGTGCAAGGGAGATTTAAGATTAAATATTTAAAGAAACTGTGTATCTTTTTAAATGTAACGGAGAAAACATATCACGATTAGAAGCAAAGTAGTATCTGTAGGATTTAAGAACCGAGATTAAATGCGATAAAACGTGACTCAGGATATCGCATTCCTTTTTGTTTTCCAGGCTCCATTGTCAGCGCATTATATTACCGGCGGTCCAAACGGGGCCATGGCGACGGTGAAGCGCACATCCGCGGTGGGCACGTTAGCGACGCACGTATGAGGCCAGGGGATCTATCCGAATTAGAACCGTCGATACTCGGGCCTAACTGAAACCACCTTCGAACTCGGCCGTGCCCTCGAATTCGAGACGTCCCGCTACTTGCTCGGTCCGCGCCCGGCGACGTTGAGATCGACGACGCGCGACGCACGACGTCTCGTTGATGCATCGGAACGGAGTCAATGTCGTTACAACCAGACCCGTCACGCTCACGACACGGAACGTTACAGAGCGGAATACGAGCGACTTGTAGAACGAAGGTCGCAGGGCAGCTGGGGCAGCAGAGGTCACGCCGGGGTCACGGATCGAGCACAACGAATGGCCGAGAATGGCGAGGCGCTCAAACATATAGAACTGGTGCTTCGGCAGTTGCAAAGGGCCAGCAGAGATCATCAACAACTTGTGCGGCAACGTCATTCGGACGTACAGTACGAGATCGGTAAGCGAATCAACGAGAGAATCTGGCATCATCGTTATCATCATCATCGTTATCGAGATGGACGCGAGAGTTCGATCGACCCATCTAGAACTTGGTCCAGGTCCTCGAGCAGCCCGTGGGAATCAGATTTAACTTTAAGGAAAACGCAACCGAACGTTACAACGAGATTGCTGACAAAGAGACGAGATTACGGAGGAACGGCGCAAAGCACGATCAATATTCTGAAGCCAGTTTCCGGACACGTTCGGGATGGAACTGCGGGCACTTGTCAAGAAATGAAATACATTCCCGAAAATGTCGGCTGGATGGATGCGCGGGAAACGTTCGATGCGTGGAGTCTGCCTGGAGCTTCATCGAGCAACGACCGAAGGACATCCTCCACCGTCGTTTAACGCGGACAGGATCGGCTTTGTGCCGAGATTCGTCAATCTCAGCAAGAGGGTTGCGAAGGAACGTAGGACACTCGAGAGAATCGAGATGAACCGGAGACTCTCTCGAGAAGGAGGGAAGGTGTTGACGTGAGAACGTCATGAAAGCGACTCGTTCGTGTTAATGATACGCTTACGATAGGAACTGCACTTCAATCGAAATCAAACTATCTCGCTGCGCGATGGTAAACGACGCAACGCATGCTGAAGAGACGGCCGGTGCGAAAGGGACGCCGATATCGAAGGGAACTCTCCTTTTGGGTCAATAAGATTAGATTTAGGACGACGAAGAGCACCGTGAGTAGTGCTCGGAGGATGTTCGTGAGTACGAGAAGAGAGAGGAGGGAGGGACGATGTTGGTTGGGTTCGTGGATCGAAGGTACTCTCTTCGGTCGGTGGCGAAAACAGACCACTCGGTATCGACAATCTTCTATTGACGTACTTTAGATCTTCTATATAATAAGCGTTTAATAAGACTCGCTCGAGCGGAAAAGCGATGAGAGACGGAAGGTCCGAACGAATCACGTCGCGAATTGTTGCTATCGCGGTGGTAGCCGAATACCGGGAAACACGTCGCCCGTAACCGACGACACGGTTATTTTCACGAAACCTCGAGGTTTCTCTCCTCGAGGTTGAAAGCTTTATCGTAGAAGCCGCTTTCCCGGTGATTCGTAAGCCGGAGCTGGGTTCACGCTTGACATTTACAGTGCGCCAATTCTATCTGACATTGCCCTTATTAGCGAGACTGCAACAACGGGAGTAGTTATTACTTTTTCGTAGCTACCATTTTACGTCTGAACCTCTCTCGACGATATCAATTAATATTCATAACGATGCACTTCTCACACTTTTTAAGTACACTTTTCTAAATTTTTTAATATATTTCACGAAATTTAAATATAAAAATATGATACAATAAAATATAATAACCTCGGAGATTTTTTTTCGATCGGAACTACAAACTTTACTTTTTTGCCTCTGTGTACTAATAGCTTCTTCAATAAAATACTCGAGATATTCGCGTTATACACGTTGTAGTAAAGTTAAATTCGAATGTCAAGCGCCAACCTACCGTAAAACGGAGAACATCTCGGCTGCCACTCCGATGTTCACTGTATCGCGCTGCCTTTTTGTATTTGTAGGAAAAAAAAAATAAATGAAAGATTAGCTTATAAGAGATGTGCTCGTGCAACATCCGCGGACTTAAGGGCGCACGTTAAGGATTAACGACGACGCCGCGGCGGCCACGTGGCTTTCGTAGCGATGATAGATCGCGACAAGTTCTCGTGGCTTCGCGTTTCTTCCGGCCTCAAGTTCCACGTGCGACGGACAGGTAATTAGTATGCGCGAGTACGCGCGAAGGAAAATTGGCACCGCGTGTTTTGCGGCTGCTCGCATTTGTAAGATAGATAGCGAAAAATCATTAGGTATACATATATAAATATATTATACACCTGTTGTCAATATGAGCATAGGGCCTATATATAGTTTGATGGCACTACGTGAAAGCGAATTCTATTTGAAATAAGCTCGTTCGCGCGGGATGGGACGGCTTTATGTAAATAATTATTGATAAATAATTATTATATACGTATGGGGAACGTAACGGGAAATACGAAACGACGCGATGTCCTTCGCGGTTTCGTCGCGCATTTTTTTTCCAAAAAGAAGATGACGAAGGCGCGCGATTAGATCCGCGCTCAACTTTACTCTCTCGTAACGCATTACGTTTTCATCTTTTCCATAGCCATTTGTCCTTTTCACTGCGACGCGCCGAGGTTCGTCACCGAGGTTGGTCCGTCACCGAGCATCGGAAGACGCAAAGAGAGAGAGAGAGAGAGAGATGGAAAGAGATTCGGGGATGACTCAATAAATTCATTTCTTATTTTTTTCTAAAAATTCCAATATCATTTTTAACTAATTCTTTCATATATAGTGACCCAAAATTCGCAACTTAAAATATTACAACGAAAAAGTTTTAAAAATTAGGTGAAAAAGTCATTTGTAAATTATTTTGAGAAATAGTTTCTGAGATATAAGAATTTCAATGTGGCCAATTATAGAGTACATTTAAATGATCATTTGTTAGTATTAGTGAACACGAATTCCTGCTCACTAATACTATCGCACATTAATGCACATTTGATTACCTAAATGTAACTGGCCATTTAAGTCCTTGTGTACCTAAAAATTATCGTTTAAAATAAAATTAACTTTTTTACTCAATTTTTTGAGAACTTTTCTGTGGTATTTTGAGTCACGAATTTTAGAACATTCTGTATATTCCTTTTTTTTCAAAATGAGATAACACGTACGATTTAAAAAGTATGTTGCCAGTAAGATTGACAAGTGAATTTAATTTTCAGATTAAATTTTTCATTGATATTTCTAAGTACTCCTTAAAATCGCTCTAAAAAATAGTGGCTCGGAAAAATTTACAAAGAGCGCGACTTATCAAATCACGTCTCCTGATCTTAAATCCACCGATACTCGGGAACGGTCAATAGCGCGAGCGATCCTCGATTTATTATAGTGCGACCGAGAAAAACGTATCCTGAAAAATATTACATCGTGATGTATAGAACGGACATAAAGGATACCATTCATAATGATAACGAAACAGGGTAGCCTATCAATTATTAAGACAATTTCAAAAATCGAAGGCTGCACACTACAGACCGGGCCGTACGCGCGTAGTCCTGCACCGTCAGGATAACGATTAAATCCGCGCGAGAGGAATCCTCGAGACGATTCGTATTACCGTCGAGAGGGAAGGGGTTGAAATTATTATTAAACGATACCGATCGTCGCACGTTGAGGAGCTAATATTCCGACGATCGCGAATGCGAATTCGCATTCGCGTCGTCGAGGAGATACCTTTATATCGTAACGTCTGTAACATAACACTTCTGTACATATCTGGAATTATTGCTCACCGTATCTCGTAAGATTTAGTTAGTTTTGTAACTGTGAACCACTATGTGCATACATACTTCACTTTATGAGAGGCGCCTCGTGACGAATGTTTCGCCCTCAAGGGACAGAGTTCCCGTTCATTCGGAAGGACATCAGCCGCGTTTTTCTCTGGTGAAAGGGCTTTGCAGATTGGACGAAAAATTACACGGCTTATCTCCTAATAATGACGGTGACTTTTTCCTCTCGAAACAAAAAACGCGTCGCCGAAGTCATGACCTAAGCAAGGCTTTAACAAAGGCTTTAATTTAATATTAACCGAATGTATTAACATCCTTCTTAACTGTCGTTCACGTGGAAACACAGCAACCATCAGACCTTTACCACTTATTATTAAATTATTAATTGAAATTACCCTCTTTCTCGTTATATCGGATTAACGCGTTGTTCTTTTTTTTTTACCTCCTACATGCCGACTACAACACAAACTTTCAACTTACTGAGAACAAGTAGAAAAAAAACGCGATATTTTAATTAAGACTTTCGTCGAGGACGATGTACGGTGAAAATTTGTTAGCTTCGCGTCAATGACAGTTAATTGTGATTTCGTCGACGCGTTGTTAAATCATCGATGCAGGCCGTTGACAGGGATTATCGCGAATCATCCATCCGAGGTTTCGCTTCTCGTGCATCATTCGATCATTCTGTACAATGTTCACGCCGATGTTACTGTTAACTATTTAAGATTTCGAGATCTTCAGTTTGTGGGGCGCGCACATGACGGCACTGTGTGCGCGCGGAATGGTGAATAATGCATATATAAGTATCGTGCTTGCAAGTGGTACTCTCGACTGCCGAATGTACAGACGATGGATGAGGCAAAAGGAAATCATCCGGGTAACTTCATCGTAAATACATTTGGTACCGAGAAGTTATACATACAGAAGTTACATACGATTTCTATTATAACAAAGAGAAAAAAAAAAGAGAAAAAATGTAGATTAAAGAGGTATACACGCGAGAAGTAACTACAATCAATGTACTGGATGGTCCGTGTGGCGATGTTAAAATTAGAAAAAGTTTATGTCGTTTAAATCTTAGGAGTTTACGCCTTTTCTGCCGTAGGACCATCCTATACGTATTAATTGGTTATCTGTCAATTATTAATTGAATTATATCAATTTCTTCGCCTTTAGTCAAGGAACGCGGGAAATGAGTGTAAGCGCGATGGCGCGATCG